GAGTCTATAAGATGGTATTTCTGATTGATTCGCTTGTTTGAAACGACATCCGTAAGAGTGATTTGAACATATCCCAGAGATTCCTGATTCCACAAAATACGAATGATTTTGTCAGACAATATAAACAAAACAAGGATGCGGAAAGAATTTTTCATAACATCCGAAAGGAAAACTACAAGTCCTTTTGGATAGAAAGTTGAGTGCAGTTGCTTGACACAGGAGGTATTCACAACATTATCCAGGATAGCTGTCCATTTGCAATAATAAGCAAAAATGAGACATGATTCGCACCTTTCCATGCAGAAGGCCCATCCTCGACGAGGTGCTGACAACCTCCACATGTAGTTTGTCATTAGTAGGAGGTTCCTCACACATGAACTGAAAATCCTCTGCCCATCTTGGATCTCTGCTTTTCTTTAGTACCTGCACAGCTCAAAGGAAATTGATAAACATAACAAGAAACAATCTTAAAATCGCAGACTTGGGGCATTTTCTACGACTCCAAGATGCATACATTCTCGAGTGTTTGTGTCTGTGTATGATAACTGATAAACATAAAGATGGTGCTCTCATACCTTGGTTCTCTTTTCCTCCCCTCTGAAAATAAGTCTTACAGACGGATTACAGTGGTGCTTTCCTTCAAGATCTTGACCTTCATGAACTACAACAACAAGCAAACCTCCACCGGGTGGCGTTCCCTCGGGAGCTTTCTGTACTGTCAGTGTTTCATCAAATCCTTTTTGCATGTCCTCCTCTTTGAAAGGTTTATAATGCAATTCCACTTCAAGCTGCCCCCGCTGCTTCTCATTTGTGGCATCATTCAAGTCCATGTTTTTAAGGAGGTCGAGAGTCATAACTTTTGGCTCGTTGTGGGGTAGATCTTTCATAGGTACTACATTCATACCCATTTTATCATGTTTGCCCACCTACACAAGGAATAAAATGCATCATATAGTGAAAGATTTTGTTGTTGATGCCCCGTGGACGTAGGCAAATAGCCAAACCACATTAATTCTTGGTGCTATTTGTCTTGGTTATTTTGTTTTCGATTTTCGAGTTTGTTTTGTTTTGCCCATTCTTAAGTGCGATAACATACAATATGACTTTCGATGGTAAACTGGTATACTATACCTTCTCCCAGTCGTAAACAAGAAGTTCTAAAGCCTGAGACTCTGGATCTTTAACAACCAAGTTAAATTCCTCATTCCATTCAGGGTTCAGGTTCTTGTGCTTGACAGTGGTCTTCTTCGAAGGCATATTGTTCTCGGTGAGCTTTAATTTCACATAAGGGTCTGAAGCACCAAGAAGATCCTTCTTTTTCAACTTCATTGCCCTCAGAACCTTCACATGGAGCATTCCTACAGGCCGATTAAAGGCTCTGCAACGTCGAATAACTTTGTCAGCCAAAACTTAAAGAAACAAAAAGTATGTAGTCACAATAAATTTCAGACAAATATAGAGACGTACTTTGCTGGGTCCATTATTGGCACTTCGAGAGTTTTGGGCCACAGATACATGTTAGCAACCTGATCTTTGATTAGCTCCTGCGGAAAAACCGTTTCTAACACGGTTAAAACTACTATTATGAAACTGATAAGCATAACACCATGATTAAGAATAAGTTGATCACATACGTGCAAAGAACAGAAACAGAGAAAGACATTGACATTCTACCTGGACGAATCTATAAAGGCCAGGTATTGACATAAGATCAGCGCCGAAAAGCTTTAATCCGAAATCAACATAAGGCTGCAAAACCACAAGAAAATAATCACGGAAAAGATTGAAGAATTAGCACTGGAAAGCATAAGATCTACATAAGCTCTTATAGAAAATCATAAGGAAAACAATAAACAGATTCAACAAAGAATATATTCTTGACGAAAGACAATCCTGAATATACATAATCAGGATTGATCTGGACTTCCTAAAAATGAACATTGTAATGTGTGTACCATAAAACTTGTAAAATAAAGAGGAGCTTCGACATTATAGTAGAATAGAACTATGTACTTGCGGTTACAATACTGTAGCCATCACGGAGAAAACAATGGCAACTTCCTTGAAAACAAGATAAGTAAATATATAGTTCTATGTTATTGAGACCCAAAGGGCCAGTATGACGCCACTATTAAATTTTTATTTCACCAGAACACAAACCTTATCCATGAGAGACACGTTTATTTGTGCGAAACAAGGAAAGCTTGGAACCAACGGCTTCAAAGTGATACGTGGTGCAACAAAAACTTGTAAATCCAGTACCTGAAGTGAAGCAAACAGTACAACATTAATAGAAGCAATACTATCTCCCTGCCTCAATCAAAGGACACAAAAATTAACGGTAGAACATATTCCTAGCACAGAACAGAAAACCTGAACGGTTGCTTTCATTCCAAATGCTTTAGCAGCAACAAGGACATTAGGGTTTCCAGCCCATTTTATGGAGGGTTCCATAATCAACTCTTTCTCATCAGTGACATAAACTTTCATGCCTAAAACCAATAAGATGCAAAAAAACGAATGTGATGTTTGGAAAACACTTTTTACAAAATATGCGTGTGTATGTACACACACACACACACACACACACACACACACACATACACAGTTCAAGAAGACAGTGAACTGCCAAAGCTGGAATGTAAGTTCCTAATAACTCTCTGATGAGGTGTTTGTGGAATATCAAGTTAACGAACCTTGGAAAGTCGGTGGTAAGGAACCTAGAGTCAGTGTTTCAAACTCAACAGATTCAATCTTGTAATTTGGAATTTCCTTAGCAATTATGGGCTTTGCAATTTCTTTTGCAGTCTTGCAGATTGCCTATAGAAGAATAAAACAGAAAGCCGTGAAGCATCAATAAAAAGTCAAGATTATATGAGAAAAGGAAGGGAGCTAGATGAGTTTCAAGCACCTTGTCTAGATACGGCCACATATATTCAAGAAATCTGTTTAGCCAGTCAAGCTTCGCATGGGAAAAAAGAAAATGTCAAAGAGAATGTAAAGGCTATAACGCCATGCTATTTAACATTATGAAAGAATAGTTACTGACACGATCGTAGTCTGGATTTTTCACCCACTGAGGTATCTCGGGAAGCATACGCTGCAATGTCTCCGTATCTTGATCAACCAAGGGACGAATTTCAGGATTCTGACAAACACAATTCAAACTATTAGAGTTACACAAACAAAGATAGACATGTCATATTTTTCCACAAATATGCAACAAACAATGTGCATCACCTTCTTTTCTCGTTTGTTCCAATCTTTTCTTTTTCTACAGTTATAATGTAGTAAAAGTTACTTTAAACCAAACAAAAACAGTGAATCGATAATTTAATAAATCGACAGAGTCATGTAGTACTGAGTTGATAATTTAGCAATGCTGAACACAGAGCACCTATTGACCCAAAAAAAAAAGAACACAGAGCACCTATACTGCTTGTTTCATGAAAGTCAAGCTAAATTAAAAATCTCTCCAACTACATCAGCATCTAAATCCAGAAGATATTTATTTTTTAACAAAATACTATATAAAATAATGCAAATAGCAATGCTGCAACACACACTCAATGTACACACATACATATAATATAGTATCTATATATGTATGTATCGACATACACACACATATACACATATTATATAAGGATTTTACCAAAGGTGTCCCATCAGTTTGATCTCTCGATTTAAAAATCGATCAATGTGAATTTTACTACCACACGTCAATGCCGTCCCTGAATTTGACTATCGCACATCATGATTAAATGAAGAAATCCCACGGCATATTAATCAAAACCCATTTACACGGATGAAGAAAATAAGGAAACCCAGAGCAATCAAAGCAGATAAGAACAAATCAAATTACATGTTGACGAATAATCAAAACCCAAAACAAAAAAAATTCCAAAAATATAAACAAATATAAACGAAAAATGACGATATTATATATATATATCAGAAAACAAGAATGCAAAGAGAGGACCACCTGAACATCAGAAGATTGGACATAGATGAACAGGAAATATCCTGCTACGAGGCCGATTGAAATCCCGAGTCCGAATCCGCAGAACCCAAAAATCGTACTGAAGAACCCCATTTCCTCAATTAACCAAACCCAAATCAAGATTTTCTTGCGCTAATCTCTATGTCTTCCAGCTTTTCAGATCAGTTAATCACTGATTAACATCGCCTAATTACGTAATCTTTGAAAATTGAAATTGTTTAGTTTGCATTCCATTTTGTAAAGCACGAGGGGAAGGACTTGGTCTTGATTCGTTAGATTAAAGTTTGCGATTGAATAGAATAATCCACCGTTATTTGAGAAGCCGTTGACAAAATTATAATCTAATTATATAATTATATATATATAAGTGCCTAGCCTCACATGAGCACATGAGCCTACGTCCTACATCGGACGGACCGCTACCGGCCGGCGAATGCGCACATTTTTTTAATATGACCGGATATTTAAAAAAAAAAGGTTTAAAATATTGAAATTAATAAAAAAGAAACTATGCTTTTTTTTAATATCTCCAATAAAAAGAAATGAGTTCTTGTATAACGACGTTAGATTAATAATCAACACCCAAAACCAAAAATCCCTAAAATATAACAATTATAAATGAAAAATGGTGATATTTTATCAGAATACAAGAATGCAAGGACCACCTCCACCTGAACATCGGAAGATTGGACATAGATGAACAGGAAATATCCAACAAAGTGGCCATTTTATCACAGTAGTAGAGAAATGTTGAGTCTTGCATGACTGCATAGGTTCAAGTTCCGTAATCTATCGTTTGACAAAAAAAATAAATAAGAAGGGATGAGTCCCCTCTCCGGATCCTCTTTGTGAGGATTCTATGATCAATTCATCATAGCCGTTAATCATACATTGTGAAATCAATTTCCGTTAGAAATTCGTGTTCTTTGAAATTTGCAAAAGCAACAGCCAAAAAACCTTTTAAGAGAGTATATGAAAGAGCAGTACTAAGTGTTCATGTCACTATGTTCGCCGTGCATTATATTATTTTCCTTGAAATGGATAAAAAGTCTACTTATATCTTCCCACTGGCCAATTAGCTACTAAGCAGCCTGTGGCAATTATTCATAAGGGATCACGGTAATCTCCAGCCGGAAAGAAAAAGGAAGATCGAGGTAATCAGTTCAGCAAGTCGACAACTTCTAGGACTCTACTTGGCTCTCTTGTGAGCTTCATACAAGTAACCTAGGCTCACAACAACAGCAGCAACCGCGACTCCTACCGCTCCTTGTGCCAGTATCGCGCTGTCATTAGCAGTTGTCTTTGAGGAAGTGGGGTTTGGAGTAAACCCGAGCTCTGAAAGTTTCTTATGCGATTCAGCATAATCTCTAAAAAATGCTTCCGCATCCTGTCATACGCCAAATTTAGCAAAAGTAAGAAAAAGAATGTCAAATAAAAAAAGCATAAATAAACCCACAACGATAGCTAATTTTATATGTATCTAAAAAAAACATCAAGGGCAAGCATAGGGATGGGCACAAGACAGCTGGTGCAGGGCCCTGACCCCATCCATGCTCATCCCTAGCTAAGTAACTTGGTTTATCAAAGTTCAATCACTCCAACCAAACACAAAATTGGGGTTCGGTATCCGCTGCAAAATGTAAAACTTAACCATATTAGCCTCAGCTTTTAAGTGGCCATGATGCCAGTAGAGGTGTTCTGTTACTGCTTAATAATGAGCCTGGTTTAACCCAATATCGGTTAATATCAATTCAGAGAAAAGGCTAGTCCAAATTGAAGAAGAAAAGGGGAGATGGTTTACTTGAGTAAGCTCCATTTTCAATCCCGACGAAACCTGTTTTATTGGATTGCTTATAATTTACAAGGGCTTATAAGAAATTAAGAGCTAATAAAGTAAACCATCTTATAAACAGCTCAACCTAAATCTAGCATTTTTCCAAGTGGTTGGTAGGTCAGGGGTGATCAAATTACGCACCACCAGAACATGGGTGAGCCACATTTGATTATTTTTTAAATTAGTGTCTATCGACAATATTAAAGTAGCTCTAAACGAACAGTGTAAGTATGTAAATATAATCAAGCAGTGATAAATAACCCAACACTAGTTACCAGAAAAATAGGACTGAAACAAGCCCAAACCCAAATTACCTTTGCATACAGATCAACATATTTACGGAACTCAGGATCCTCCACTAAAGCTGCATCTGTCGGAAGTTTCAACAACCCCTCTGACTCCTCGTTCAACAGTTCACTGTCAACAATGAGTAGCAACAAGTGTTCATATCCACAAGCAAGCATAATGACATAAAATGATAAATTATCACCAATTTTTCAAGTCTTACACAAAGTATGAGTTATCAAACTGCAGAGGTTCCTTAGTCCAAGGACCATCAAAACCAGATCTGTCTGGATGTGCCCTTCCCTATAAGACCAGAGCAAATGAAGCAGAGTAAACATGTCTATATAATACCAAAGAAGACCGTATATAGACGCATCAAGGAGCAAGAATTACCAGTGTATGACCCCCAGATAGTGCAACAATATCCTTGTCAGACAGCCCCATTCTATAAAACCTTTCTCTCAAATGTGGTGCACCTATTATCAAAACATAAAATACACCGACAAAAAATTAAACTTCTTTTAATGAACAACAAAAAATTCATCTCCCAAAAAATTTAACTGAAAATGATACACAAGCAAAGTATGCCCAACTTCTTAACACATAAACAAAGCTAGGAGATGGGAAGAAGTGGGTTGAGTTTTAACATGGAGCAAGTTATAGCAATTCCATGGAATAACAGAGGAATCCCACCATGCAAACCAATCTGAACTTATGAGAATATATTAGTGGTGTAACAACAAAAATGAGTCATATTAAAAAAAAAGGTGGAAAGCCTCAGTTGTTTCCGTGGCTTTGTTGAGCTCTACAGGAAATCTGTGCACGCTAATGACTACAACTATTTGCATTAAGAACTTGCAACCAACACCGAGAACAACATAATGAGGACATGTACCATGTTAGTATGTTACACATCCTGACATGGATACAAAGCTGCTCAACGAGTATCTCTGACTCTTAGAAACTTAGAAGTTTGCTACACATAAACCATTAATGCCAAAATATAACAGAGATGTTATTAGAAAACTGTTCATCTACTCTATCCAGAAACTTCATAGTCTCTGATATGTAAATGCATACAATTCATGAATTATAATCCAATTAAAATGCAACCATATAAGAAATATAAAAATTGGGAAAATTAAATATTGAAGAAGATATCTAAGGTATTGGAATAAACCTCGTTTAGCATCTGGAAGTCGTCCTTCCTTAGGAGAAATTTTAGAATCCTACGAAAAAGTACAAAAAAGCAGATGAAAACTTGAAAGTAATGATAAGGAAACTCGTTATGTTTCTTGAAATAAGTGATCACTGACCACAACATACCTTCCTGCCTGAAGAAAAATCAATGACGGGGCCTCCAGTGACCTCAACTGCAACAACACCCGCAAGCTGAAAATACAAGTAATCATGCCCCTTAATCGCTACTTTCATTGAAGAATCCATGCTATCTTCGACACATTTAGGAAAAACTGTGGTGATCTTTGTAAAACCTCTTCATTTGCAAATAATTTGATGAACTACAATTATATTACAGGCAGAGTAAATTTTCAGAACTATAATCACCTGGTATAGGTCTGCATATGTAATCCTTGGATGCTTCAACTTGACTTCCTCTGACATAAAAGAGAAGCACCCGTCAAAAATACCCCACATTGGATACCTACTTAAAAGCATGACTCTCAAATGCATTATTTGTATGTACTCCTTGTAGATTAGGTAAATTGTGGTTTGACCCACTAAACTATCACCCCAGTTGAAATTGACCCCCTAAACTATTTTTTTGGTAAATTAACCCCTTGAACTATTTAAAATCAGTCAATTATCCCCTTGCCGTTAGATTGCAAAATCAATTCCGTCAAATTCAATGGCAAATTAGTCATTTCGTCATCAATTGTTACTTGTCAGCTATAACCACCAATAAAATTTTGACACATGGACACAAAATAATTCAAAAACATATAGGATAATGAGAAAACATATAAAACCCAAACGTTTACATAATGGCCCATCTCAAATTGAAATTACAAATTATTTTGTTTTCAAATGTCATAAGTTCATTGGTGGTTATAGTTGACAAGTAAGAATTGATGAAGAAAAGACTAATTTTCCTTTGAATTTGATGAAATAGTGATTGAATCTACCGATAAGGGGTCAATTGGCTGACTTCAAACAGTTCAAGGGTTAATTTACCAAAAAAATAGTTCAGGGGGTCAATTTCAAATGGAGTAATAGTTCAAGGGGTCAAATGGCAGTTTACCATTGTAGATTTAATGATCATACGATTTTGTATAATGGCCAAACGAATGACACTGTAGTTACATATATATTGAAACATGTAAGGCACCTTGGAGACAACCTAATATGCTACATAATGACAACTTTAATACACGGTTGCTTACTATGATTGCATTACAGTTTTCTTATCAGTTTCATTTAGAAATGAGAAACCGAAGTAAACCCAAGTATGCAGTATGCACATTGTCTTTAGTTGCATATACAAGACCGTAAAACCATCTAAATTCGTTAAATGCTTGGCATTAAGGACTTGCGCTATCTGAATTGCAAACAAAGACCAATTGTAGCACTGATAAACTCATATAAACAGCCAACGAACCATCAAAGCTTGCATAGCATGTCATATGACACAAAAATAAAATTACAATCATCTCGATTCTCGCTTCTCATATACAGAATTGCATGTTTTTAAAATGAATTACTGATTTTTTTTTTTTTTTACAGCTACAAGATCAACTGATCAAGTTTAGTAAATTGAATACCGATTGACGATACGAAACAGTAGAAATGAACATACCACAAAAATCAATAGCCTTCTTCAAGCCATTGTTGGAACCATGAGAGTACTCCTCCTCGTTCCGAATTGAACCATTCGGCCCACCCGTCTTCGTCTTGGCATCGTAGGTCCCAGCATCGTGCCACCTACAAATTCACACCTCCAAAAACAATCAATCATAACTCCAACAAAATCGATACAAACAATGATGCAAATGCTGCGATAGTTATGTTTGGCTACTGAGAAAATGCAAGAAACGGATTCGGATTTTTCATTTACCGAAAATTTTATCGGGAAACAAACAGATAGAGAGAGAGAGAGAGAGAGAGAGCATACGCCAAGCGGAGCATGATCGGAGCGCAGCTTCGGCTGTAAATGAGAGCGCGGAGATCGCGGCGAGCCTTGTCGATTTCTTTGAGGTACTCTTTGTCAACGAGCGGCGACGTCATCGGAACCGGAAGTGAGTGCTCGACAGTGACTCGGGGCAAAGAGAGAGAACGATGATTTTGAATTGATAGTGCAGCTGGACAGATATGGTTTTGAGAGAGAGAGAGAGAGAGAGAGAGAGAGAGAGAGAGAGGAGGGTGGGTATAGTGCGAGGGCGAAAGGCCCTGCAAATGAGGAGCTGCACCGACCGTGCTCACAAGGTCATAATTGTCATTTCACCATTCTCAGGATTAGAAAATTTGAGTTTAATTAATTTTCCATCTGTTGGATAACTTCTGTCACGGGTCTACAAAACTTGCCTGTGTTTTGCACCAGTACTTCTTACTTCGAAGTCAATTTACTTCAGAAAAATTGACAGATTAAATAAGGGAGCGAAGGATGAAAAATTTGAAGTGTTTTAATCTAATAGGCTTAATAACTTAAGGAAAATAAACTTAGCAAAATATTTTTTAAGTTATTAAGTCCTTCTAAGAATATAGAAGCGCATTCCTCCCCGCATCCAACTTTTCAATTATGCATCTGGAACTCCAACCAGGGGTTCACAATATGGGTCGAATTCCGAAAGATCATATCTTTGAGAAACAAGCAAGCAGCACTAGCGGAAGTTGGCTAGCTCCAAATCAAGCAAACAGTTTGAAGGTTGTTTCGTTATGCATTACACAAAACTTATTCTGGGATGATTCACTCATGATCCGTTGGTAACTATTCATCTTCAAAGCGGAGCCCTATCTCAGAAGCATAGTTGGGGGAATTTATGAGACTATAATTTTTTGAGACCATGACATGTGGCACCTCGGTTGGCAAGAAGGACCAGAAGACCCATAGCCCTGAAGCGTAGTCCAATAACCTTAGTCTGGTAGGCTAAGCTTAAGCCCATTGAAGATATTACTTATCTCCCAAGTAAGGAAACTCTAATTCAAGTCAAATTAGGATATCTTGGGGTTAGGCAGCGTAATCATAATCCTCGGAGAATTGGATATATGTTCTAGATTCTCTCCTATATAGACTCCCGATTTAATTGGAATTCCTTTCTCTACAAGAATTCTCGATATCTTTATAAATATTCTAGCCTGGTATTTATCAGAGGACATTTCTCTCAACCTTTCTATGATCAACTCTCTCAAATTTGATATTATCTACAAGACTACGACACACATATTCTTTCTACAACTACATATGCTCATCATGCATACATTTTGCCATCTCTGCGAAGACACATCCATGTAGAACCCATCTCCTTAACGGCCAGTGATAGGCTTTTAGTCAAGGATGGTACATGATGTCTTGCATATCAAAGCATGCTTTCTTAGAATTATACATATGCTTTGATTCTCCTTTTCTAGAGATATGTAGGCAGTCCAATCTGGATTCAACAACACCCCCAATCAACCTCATTCTCCTCTCGCTAGAGATCATTGGCAATTTCAACTAGATTTCACCCACCAAACAACTTACATAGCACAAAACATCACTATAATAGTGCACTCGTGTCATATAAATCACCTTTTTATGTACAAAGTTAAACACTTTGAACATATACGAGTGTACTTAAACTGGTCTATGTGATAAGGAGAAAACAAACTAAGACCATCCAAAGGAGATGTCAAATATGTCAACTAGGACTAAAAGACATCAAGGTGTTCTCCAAGGGAGATGTCATATATGACACGCCCGGCCCCGATATCCTCCAAACACCAAGGTAGGCACATGTTGGCCGACACCCGAAGGTGACGAAGCCAAACTTACATGCATGAGAAATATGAAGAAAGAACGGACATAAATAAAACTCGTAAATTTAATTATAATGAATATGCAATTGTGGAATGTGTTTAGAGCATACAACTAAACCAAAACATTGAAGAAGGAATATTATAAAAATGTACGAACACATAAATGGGTCCTACATTAAGAGGACTCGAAGATACTGATGCAAGAATGCCTTGATGTCGGGATTGTACACCTCGATTCTAAGTCCTGAGGGGGGCGCAAAACAAAACATGAGTGGACCAAGTTTATATATAAGTAATACTAAAACAGTTATTCTTCAACATACTAACCCCTAGTTTAGAAAACTAAGGCCTCGTTTGGCAGCTCGGACTGTACTAACTATTTCTGTCGGATAGGATAAATAGTCACCGGATAGTACTGACTAAATTAGTCGGGTGTTTGGTGCAGTATCGGACTAGTGACTGTATTATTTATACTGTGTTTGATATTATACTAGATAGGAGGCATCAAACTTAAAAATAAAAATTTTTAAAAAGTGAAATCATTTTTTTGTTCCCAGGTCTCTCCGCACCCCCCAAACACCCTCCCTCTCTCTCCCTTCTTCTTCCCCGACGGTAGAAGAATCCCAAATAATTGTTCCCCAGCTCTCTCCGCCACACCCCCCAAACTCCCTCCCTTTCTCTCCTATATTCTTCTTCCCCGACTAAATAATCCGGGCGTTTTGGTTGGTTTTATTAAGCGGGTGTATACCGTGTTATCCTATCCGACCGGTTAAATTAATCCGGCGCTTATTTAGTACGAGTGAACGCCAAACACCCGGGTCCGTATAACTAATCATATCCGATCCTTTATCTGATCTGCCAAACAGGGCCTAATATAACATAATAAGTAATAGGTTTTCCGAAAACCCCAGCATGCCATAAAACCTTCGTAAAACATATATCATATATGGTGTGCTTAATAGCATCATAAAGGCATATATATATATATATATATAAATCTTCATTCGCCCGAAGGCACTTCGTCACTCACCCGTTGGAATATATAAAGATCTTACGGCTGAAGCCATCTACAAACACCCCGCCAAAGCCATATATAAGTATATAAGTATCTTCCGCCCGTAGGCACTACATCCCCCGGTCGAAGCCATATATAAGTATCTTCCGGCCGAAGCCATCTACAAACGCCCGGCTGAAGCCATATATAAGTATCTTCTGCCCATAGCCATATATAAGCACATAAAATAATAAACATAATATTTCCAAAATATATCTCATCGGAGCTCAATAGCTCAAACATCATATCATAAATCATGTTTGTAATATATAATCATAAATCGTTCAAAGAACGTAAATCCGATAAAGCATGATATTCCATAAAGTGTAAATCCAATTTAATCAAAAATGTTTCATAAGATGTAGTCATAAAATCATGCTTTCATATATGCATTTCTAATAATAAAATCATACATTTTAGAAGGGGTCCACTCACCTTACTCCGTTGTCGAAGAGCTGTGCAAGCTAGGTAGGACGGAAACGCCACTAACAAATTCACCTACGCACATAAAGGAACCAATTAATAAGCCTCTACTAATAGGATTAAATTTGGGAAAACGGATGTCGAAAACGGATTAAGGACGTCAAAATACCCTAAAAGGGGTCCCGGGCAAATTTCGTAAAAGTCAACAAGAATATTCCAGAGATTTTTCCATGAATATTTCAAAGAATATTCCCTAACTCGCCGTGATTTGGCGAGAAAACATCTCGAAAGTGGCGGAGGTCACCGGAAACTGGGCACCTTTAAAAGGTTATAACTTCCTCATTTCTTAGCCAAATCGAACCCATAATATGTCAAAACGAAGCTTAAGACAAGAGGAATAAGATTATAACTTCAAAAGCCAAAAGATAACCAGAAATGGCTGCAAAATGCCTGTAAACACGCAGGTCTCGCCAGTAAACTGGGGAAGAGTCCCTTCGTCATTTCTAGGTTCGTGGGGTTCACATAAAGGGTGGGGGATGGTGGTGTGCATCAGTTGTTGTTGTTGTGTTTGTATGCTTTCCCAGAGAGGGAAGGTTAGAGAGATAAGAGAAATGAGAGAAGAGAGAATACGGGGGAGAAGAGAGGGAAAAAGAAAGAGGGAATCGGGGACCAAAAACAGAGGTGGGCCCTACATGGCACACCAAATAAGACCAAAAAGCAAACATTTAAAATAAATACCCCAACCAAAGTGAAATTACAAAATTGCCCTTGACATTCCATAAAATTTGAGACAGGTCGTTATAATCTACACCCGTTAAGAAAATTTCATCCCCGAAATTTGAAATAACTTGTTATACATAAATGCTTGAAGATAGCAAGAAAAGAATATATATATATATACACACACACATATATATATATATATATATGTATATATATATAAAAAAAAATCAAGTCACAGCGGTTGCATCAAAGAGAATATGCCACACCATCGCGTTGCAATGATTCCTCTTTCATGCCTCCAAGCTCATACCTTCTTCCCACATCAATATAAAAGTAGAACCATACTTTATAAAGATATAAAGTCAAAAATATATAATAACGTAAGGTCAAAAATATATACGCACATTAAGATAACGTCAAAATAGATATGTATAAACAAAAAAGCCAAGAACTCGTACTAAACTTAAAACTGAAAGTGGAAAATACTCACCCCAAACTTTTGTAACGTTAAACATACAAATATATAACTACAATAAGGTAAGTTAAAATACTTGTATTGAAAATAAAAACCGATATTGAAAAGTGGGTCTCACCCAAGCATTCATAATGTCACATACTCCAAGAATAGGTGTGTGTCTTTGGGTCAAGCCCTAACAATAACTACTTAATAATAACTACCGTAGACGGGTCTACCTGCCCACTTGCTTAACAAACCCAACAAATAAGCCATTGATATTACAGTCTGCAGCCCGCAACATCAACAACAAATTGTTGTCTCGATAAGTAAATAGTAATTTCCTAAGGGTGCAACATTACCATTTTATCCAACTCCAAGGCAACATTATCAGAAACACACAATTTCCCTTATTGTAAATTCGATCCTCCAAATACCAATTCGCAATACTCATCTGTCTAACCAGTGTTGCCTATAGAAGCTATCATACCATCTCCCAAATAGTGTCATACCCAAACCGAAAATAAAAACTGTCATAGTAAACAACTTTGAAAGAGATCGGTGCAAAATCTAATTATGTTGAAATCACAAAACGAACAAACACAACACCTCCTTCAAGGTCTAGATAGTTCATTCATATTGTCCAACAGTCAAAGAATGAAATGCAGTACTAGACAACAACTTAGTACCCATGGCCTTCAAGAAAACTTCATGAGACTTAGAAGTGAAACGCGT